ATCCAAGAGACAAAGTCTCATCATCTTTGCCACTTAAGAAGCATTCTGTGTGTACTTCCTCCAAAACATATTTGTTTACTCTTTTGGCAGTTCATAGTACTTTCAATATTTTTCACCAATACCACACTTCAAACACATCAATTTTATCCAGTCTTCCTTACTCAATGTCCAACTTTCACATGCATATGAAGTAATAGAAGATATCATGGCTTGGGGCAGATGCACCTTAGTCCTCAAAGTAAGCTCCTTTCTTTTCAACACTTTAAAGAGGTCTTCTGCAGCAGATTTACCTAATGCAACGCATCATTTGATCTCTTGACTTTAGAGTGCATAAGCATTGAATGTGGATTCCAGAAAGATAAAATCCTTGACAACTTCAATCTTTCCCCCATTTATCAGGATGTTACCTATTAGTCCAGTTGTGAGGATTTTTGTCTACTTTATATTGAGTTGTAATCCATACTGGAGGATCTAATCTTTGACATCCAACAGGTGCTTCAAGTCCTCTTCACTTTCAGCAAGCAAGGTTGTATTCTAAGCCTTCCTCCAATCCTGATGCCACATTCTTCATATAAGCCAGATTCTGTGATTATTTGTTCAGCATACCTACTGAATAGGTATGGTGACAGGATACAACCTTGATGCACACCTTTCCTGGCCTTAAATCATGTGATATTCCCTTGTTCTGTTTATGTAACCACCTCTTGAGCCATGTACAACTTCTGCATAAGCACAATTAGGTGTTCAGGAATTCCCATTCTTCTCAAGGCGATCCATAATTTTTATGAACCACACAGTTGAATGCCTTGGCATAGTCAATAAAACACAAGTAAACATCTTTCTGGTATTCCCTGCTTTCAGCCCAGATTCTCTTGACATCAGCAATGATATCTCTTGTTACACATTCTCTTCTGAATCTGCTCTGAACCTCTGGTAACTCCTGGCTAATGTACTGCTGCAACCATTGTTGGGATATGTTCAGAAAAATTTTGCTTGCATGTGATCTCAATGATATTGTTCTAAAATTTGTGAATTCTGTCATATCACATTTCTTTGGAGTGGATACAGATATGGATTTTTTTCCAGTCAGGTGGTCAAGTAGCTGTCTTCCAAATTTCTTGGCATAAATGAATGAATGCCTTCAGTGCTTCATCACTTCGCTGAGACATTTCAGTTGGTATTTTAGTTGGTATTTCATCAAGTCCTGGAGCCTGTTGCTGGCTAATGCTTTCAGTACAATTTGGACTTCTTCCTTAGTGTCACTGGTTCTTGCTCATATGCTGCTTGTTGAAATAATGGAAGGACATCTAGTTCCTTTCCATACAGTGGCTCTGCGTATTCTTTCCATCTTCTTTGGATGCTTCCTGCATCATTCAACATGTTTCTCATAGAATCTTTGAATATTGCACTTCGAAGTTTGAATTTTCTTGAGTTCTTTCAGTCTAAGATATGCCGAGCATCTTCTTCCTTTTTGGCTTTCTAACTCTAGCTCTTCACACGTTTCATTACAATATTGTATTTTGTCTTCTCTAGCTGCCCTTTGAAATGTTCTGTTCAGCTCTTTGACTTCATCATTTCTTGCATTTGTCTTAGCTATTCTATGATTAAGAGTAAGTTTCAGAGTCTCTTCTGACATCTGTGTTGACCTATTCTTTCTTTCTTTTGTCTTTAATGAACTCTTGCTCTCTTCATGTATGATATTCTGGAAGTCTTCCCCCAGCTTATCAGGTCCTCTGTCATTAGTGTACAATGGGTTAAATCTGTTCTTGAGATATTCTTGAAATTCAGGTCATATACTTGTACACTGAAGGTCATATGTTGGTTCTTGGGGACGTGTTTTCAAGGAGCCCTGGTGACATATTGATTATGTATTGGGCTGCTGACCACAAGTTAAGCAGTTTGGTACCGCCAGCTGCTACTGGGAAGAAAGATGAGGTTTTCTACTGTAAATAGTTACAGTCTTGGAAACCCACATGGGCATTTCTTTTTTTAAAGAATAATCATTTTATTGGGGGCTCTTACAGCTCTTATATGATTCCATACAAGCAGAAGCCATTTCTACATCTTCTTATATAAACCCTTCTGCCATAAAATTATAGAAAATCTAAGTTTCTAGGCTTCTATTTTAAAACTTCATAATACTCTTCCTGGTATCTTGCATTTGACACTGTAGTGCTTTATTTTATTTTATTTTATTTTATTTATTTTTTTGCCTTTTCTTCTATTTCTAGCCTGTCTTTGAGTCTTATCAACTTTTCTCTTATGGAACTTGTTGCTTGAATTTAGTTTTCTAGAAACTTCAACCTTATTCTCCTTTCATTGTGCCCAACTCTAACCATAACTGTGTGGTAGTTACACACTTTTATGCCAACTTGAAAAAGAATGAAGGTGTGAGTCTCGTATGTCAATCAGGTCACAGCCTGATTGATCCCTCCTTGTGAGCGTGGCTTTCTCATGAAGATTCTGGGAACTTCTTCCTCCCTGGAGGTGGGGTACACTCTCTCTCTGCTTGATATTTTCCTGTTGACAAACCACATGGAGCCACGCTGATGGAAGCCAGAGCCCTGGAACTGGAGGAGCTATGCGGAGACCTTCCCCAGGGCTGAGATGTGTCCACCGCCACTGGATCTACCACTGGCCTGTGATCATCCTACAGTTGGCATCATTGAATGTGCTGTGTGAGTCTAAAGAGGAATTTATGGACAGTACTGGACATATGGGTTAATATGGGACTTATGGACTTGATCTGGGCTGTTCTGGGATGTTTTCTCAATGTATGTGTGCTCTTTGAAATATAGCTCTCTCTCTCTCTCTCTCTCTCTCTCTCTCACACACACACACACACACACACACACACACAGAATCCATACATCAATTGTATCAAGCACTTTTGTACATATATTGCCATCATCCTTTCAAAACATTTTCCTTCTACTTGAGCCCTTGGAATCAGCTCCTCTTTTTTAATGTCTCTCCCGTTGATAAATCATAAATTATTAGCATCTTTATATCTTCCACCATTTGCTGTCTCCCTTCACCCACGTTTCTGTTGTTCTTCTATCTCTGGGGGTGGGGACAGGGTGTGTTATATGTTGATCATTGGCTTGGTTTATCTTTTCTCCCCCTACCCTCATGGTATTACTACTCCCACTACTGTTCCTGATGGGTTTATCTATCTTGGATTCTGGGTTTGGGAACTCTTATCTGTACCAGTGTACATGCTCTGGGCTAGCATGGTTTGTAAGGTAGAACTCTGGTCATGATAGTGTAGGGGAGGGGGCATTGTGGAGATAGTAGCATTAAAGAACTAGAGCAGGGGTGTCAAACTGGTGGCCTGTGAGCTGCATGTGGCCCCCGGGGTAATTTTTTGTGGCCCCAAATAAATAAAATGTAACGAGGGAATTTAGTGTACTGTATTGCCACGATCACCCCTAAGCGCTATTTGCTCCATGATAATTTTTTCTAATGTAAGAGTATCGTGGGCCACAAAAAATTACCTTGGGAGCCACATGCAGCCCGTGGGCCACCAGTTTGACACCGCTGAACTAGAGGAATGTTGTGTGTTTCACTGGTGCTATACTGCTGCAGCCTGGCTGCAAAGGGGCATTTCTACCCTGTCCTATAGGATATGAGTGAGACTTGAGACGATGACAGTGAGTTTAGGTTTTGAATTGGTTTGGACTTGTTTGCATTTCCTGCACCTTCAATTTGCACGTACATTTGAGTAATTGATGGTCTGTTCTACAGTTGGTTCCTGGCCTAGTTTTAGCTGCTGATGTTGACTTTCTTCATCATCTCTTCCCACAGATTAGTCAATTTGATTTCTGTATATTCCATGTGGAAAAGTCCATGTGTATAGTTGCCTTTTGTGCTGTTGAAAAAAATGCTAAGAATAAGTCGCTCCCCTTCCAAAATGCAATCATGCCATCTCCAGTTTCATTTCTATCTTTACGGACAAGACTGGAATGTGATTAAGCCCTAATCGCATACCCTTTTCCTTGGGGCCATCTTTAGACTTGACCTCAGTAAAGGGTATGAATCAGGCCACACCCTTTGTTTCCTTGGGGGCATCTTTAAGTTGACTAGAGGATGTGTCTTAAGACACCATCCTTTGTTTTCCTTGGGGGTATGATCAGCTAAAAGACAAACCCTACCTCCATCAAAGCCATTCCTCAGTATATACAAGCCATCTGGGACACAGAAAGAAATCCCAGGGACATTTTGAAGGGCACATCCAAGACCTTTATCTGATGTGGTGGGCACCACTGAGACCAGATGCACCAGAAACTGTGGCTTGGAGACACAAAGGAGCGGCACCAAGACTATGAAGTCCCTTCTCATCTGGCCCAAGACTGTGGGACTGTGAGACAGAACAACTGGTGGGCTGGCTTCCTGTCCCGTGAAGGGAAGGACAAGGGCTCATGTGACCAAGAAACTCCAGAGCAGAGAAAGGCTTCTCTGCTGGCTGAGGAGAGGTGTTACCCTGGACCAGTGACTGTATCCTTACTGTTTGCTGATCTTGACTTTTGGCAACCTGAGTTGTGTGTGGTCAAGGTAGCAAATTATCAAACCCAGTGTAGAATTGGAGTGCTGTGGCAAGAATGCTTGTGTCAGGATAGAGTAAAGAAAGATGGAGGGTGAAGGCATTTGACCCCTGCCTTGTGACAATAGGGAAGCCAGAAGAGGTCAGACGTGTCCACCTCCACTGCCATTTGCCACAGTGGAATTAGGATGTTCATAATGGATGAAAGGCATTCACTTTAGAAATCATAGCAGGGCTGGCAAGTTGGCATGAGGAAGAGCTCTCCAGAAGCTGATGTCCTGTGATTATTCTAATGGGGATGTAAATTGGTGAGAAGTAGAAAGATGGTATCCTCCGCTGACAGCCCCAGGTCATGCGGAGTCCCAAGCATCTCTGGAGCATTCTGGAGCCAAGACTTCCAGAAGTAACCTGACTATTATGTCTGGCTTCCCCTTAAACTGACCTTACTATCCTGAGTCAGATACACTGCTTGATTTTGAGAGGAATCTCGCTCCTCTCGGTAATCTTCATGTCGTCTCCACTCTTTTGTTTCCGAAACTCAAGCATCCTCATTTGTATCCTATCATGGTGCAAACGTCTTGGGTCTTAGATTCTTTTGAGACTTTGTGTTTGTGTAAAAACCACAGCCCGCAGTTGAGTTACTGATCTTGTCTCTGTCCTCTGGGCTGGCATGTACTGAATTCAGCTGTAAAACTAGCATTGAAAATGACTGTAAATCTTTTTGATGGAAGAAATGATAACTCAACCGTCCTTGAACGGCCGCTCTTGACTGTGGATATTGACCTATTCTGACATGTCTGCCCCTCTTTAATCATATTTTTGGCTTAAGACAATTTTGTTACTGGGCTTTTGAACCAACTAATGACCATATATGAGATATGCTCCTATGAGAAACTATTCTTCATGGAAGATGTAATCTAACCACATGATGCAAATATAAGTTGAGCATGCTATGCTTAAAAAGGGGTTTTGTGAGTATTTGTGACCTGACACCAATGAATGCATTTGTATATCTTCATGTCTTATGTGAGATATTGTATATTAAAGCATTTTATGAAACAACAAATTTAAACATAATTATCTGTTGTAATTATTATTACATGTCATTGTAAAATTGAGTATCCAGATTATAAGATTTCCATTCTAATTTCTGCTTGTTCTGCTTTCAGTGGGCACCATTTCCAATCGCTATCGATGGAAACGGGAAACTACACAATTGTGACAGAGTTCATTATTTTGGGATTAACAGAGGATCCTACAGTTGGTGCTATTTTATTTGTTATGTTTCTGGCAATCTATGTTGTCACTCTCATGGGAAATATCAGCATAATCATATTAATCAGAAGCAGCCCTCAGCTTCATACTCCAATGTACCTTTTTCTCTGCCATTTGGCTTTTGTGGACATTGGGTATTCCTCATCAGTCACTCCTGTCATGCTCATGGACTTCTTAAGGGAGGAAACAGCTCTTCCTGTTATGGGCTGTGTAGCTCAACTCTGTTCTGTGGTCATGTTTGGGACAGCTGAGTGCTTCTTGCTGGCTGCCATGGCCTATGATCGCTATGTGGCCATCTGTTCGCCCCTGCTGTACTCCACTCAGATGTCCCCTAGAATATGTATGATCTTGGTGGGGATCTGCTACCTAGGTGGGTGTGTAAATGCCTGGACCTTTACTGGCTGTTTATTACGTCTGTCCTTCTGTGGACCAAATGTAGTCAACCACTTTTTCTGTGACTATTCACCACTGTTAAAGCTTTCTTGTTCTCATGATTTTACTTCTGACATCACACCAGCCATCTCCTCTGGCTCCATCATTGTGATCACAGTGTTTGTCATAGCTGTCTCCTATGTCTACATCCTCATCACCATCCTGAAAATGCACTCCACCAAGGGACATCACAAGGCCTTCTCGACCTGCACCTCCCACCTTACTGCAGTCACTCTATACTATGGGACCATTACATTCATTTATGTGATGCCCAAGTCCAGCTACTCCTCTGACCAGAACAAGGTGGTGTCTGTGTTCTACACGGTGGTGATCCCCATGTTGAATCCTCTCATCTACAGTCTCAGGAACAAAGAGGTCAAAGAGGCCCTGAAAAAACTGATGGCTAGAATACACTGATGGTGCCGAACAATCTGATTTTAGGAATAAGCTCTGCAATGAAGTCCCTGAGGAAAACCAAAAATAGACTTTGGGCCAGGGCATGGCACCTCATCAGACTGTACGGGAATATACTAATAAAGATCAACAAAGGGACCTCAATTATTTATAGTTTTTTTGTTGTTGTTCCTTTGCTTTTGTTCTTATCATTGTTTTTGCATGTTCACATAGATAAGATAGGCAGGATAAACATTCTGGAGGAGAAAACAATGGGACTGATGGTTATGGGGGCGACATCGGAGAGTGCAGGTGGGGGAATGGTAGGGAGTGCCAACAAACCCAGGGACAAGGGAAGAACAAGTGATGTAAAATAGATGTTGAGGAGGGCTTAGAATGCATGATGGGGCTTGATCAAGTGCAATGTAGGCGAGAGGAATTACTGAATCCTGAATGAAGATCGAACATGATAGTGGGACAAAAGGAAAGTAAAAGGAAACAGAGGAAAGGTCTAGGAGGCAGAGGACATTTATAGAGGTCTAAATACAGGCATGTATTTATGTAAATATATTTATATAAAACAATAGCGAAATCAATCTATGTACATATATTTATATGTTAAGTCATAAGGTAGCAGAAGGACATTGGGCCCCTACTCTAGTACTCCTTCAACACAAAAACACTTTGTTCTAATAACCCAGCATTCTGTGATGCTCACCTTCCCGACAAGATTGCTGAAGACAAAATAGGTGTATATGTAAATGTGGTGAAGAAAGCTGATGGTGCCCGGCTATCAAAAGATATAGCATCAGAGGTCTTTAAGGCTTGAAGATAAACAAGTGGCCATCTGGCTTAGAAGAAACAAAACCCACATGAAAGAAACACACCAGCCTGTGTGATCATGAAGTATCAATGGGATCAAGTGTCAGGCATCAAAGACCCAGAACAAAAATTTTATAGATCTGAATGAGGTGGAAGGCAGAGTGGAGACCCAAAGTCCATCTGAAGACAATTGGACATCCCCTCACAGGGGTCACAATAAAGATGAGCCAGTCATGGTGCAGTATAGCATTGATGAAACAACTTCAATGCTTCCTCTTCCATTCCCAACTCCCTCTATCATGACCCCAACACTACCTTACAAATTCAGCTAGACCAGAACATTTACACTGGTACAGATAAGAGCTTGCAACACAGGGAATCTAGGACAGATAAACCCCTCAGGTCCAATCATAAGAGTAGCAATATCAGGAGGGGAAGGGGAAGGTATGGCGAAAAAAGGGTAACTGATCACAATGATCGACCTATAACCCCCTCCCAGGGGGACAAACAACAGAAAAGTGGGTGAAGGGAGACAGAGGTCAGTGTAAGACATGAAAATTTTTTAAATATATTTCAAGGGTTCATGAAGGAGGGAGGGAGAGAGGAGGAAAATGAGCTGATACCATGGGCTCAAGTAGAAAGAATATGTTTTGAAAATGATGATGGCAACATATGTACAATTGTGCTTGACTCAATGGATGGATGGATGGATTGTGATAAGAGCTGTAGGAGCCCCCAGTAAAATGATTTTTTAAACAAAGAATAAAATGTGTATAGTGAGTACCTTGCCTGTAGATGAAAGGGTGACACACTAAGTAAATTTCAGTTTATATTACTATGTTTTCAAGTCACATATGGATCCTTTAGGATAGGACTATTTAAGTAGGAAATATCTGTGCTATACTTGCTCCCTTCCACGTTATCTGCATCTGTAAGTAAAGATATTTTGAAATAATTTTTGTGTTCTTTGAATGCAGTCACATCTGTGGACACATCTGAAACTTTAAAATGGGAAATGAATACGAGTGTGTTCCCCAAGGAATCTTCACCTTAAATATAGGATCTTTATGCTTTATAGACACTCTAAAGCAGTGGTTCTCAACCTATGTGTCCTGACCCCTTTGGGGGACTAACGACCGTCTCACGGGGTCGCCTAAGAACTTCGGAAAACACATATTTTTGATGGTCTTAGGAACCTAGAACTGCTCCTGTGGCTGTGTCCAGGTGGGTCCGCCCACATGCAGATAAGTCCACTTATGAGTACCTGGCATAAAGAATGTTACCCATGCTACAACATGCTTCCAGACAACATTTAATTTATTTGTAATTAGAAATTAATATTTCACAATATATAATTAATATTGTTTTTGTGATTAAAATCATTATGCTATAATTATGTTCCATTTGTATCAATGAAAATACATCCTGCATAGCAGATATTTACATTATGATTCATAACAGTAGCAAGATTATAGTTATGAAGTAGCAACAAAAATAATTTTATGTTATAGTTATGAAATAGCAGCAAAAATAATTTTATGGGTGACTGTATTAAATAAAGTGTCATGGCATTAGGAAGGTTGAGAACCACTGCTCTAAAGGTTGACTTATTGATGGTGATGGTTAGAACACTTCTGTTTCCCTGTGACCCAAGCCCACTAACAGGGTCCCTTCTGCAGTTCCTCTGCAAGTGAATCTGATCCAATCAAATAAAAGATATCTGAAGACACTTCCACTAAGCTCCTGGCTCTTCTTTTTTCCCAAATCTCTTTCACAAAATACCTTAAGGAGTTCCTGAAGGGACAGAGTACTCTGGACGAATAGGGATGATTCAGCTCAGTATGGGTAAAGAATTAAATTATACCAGTGTGCACTTTTTGTAGGTTGTTTCAATCTTAGAAAATGTATGTAGTGTACATATATACTTTATTTTTACCTATTTTTCCAATTCTAATGCTAAAGCCTCTGACACTGGAAAAATGCCAATATCTTACCCATAATCTCACTGGAACTAATGCAACAGCCATGAATGTTCTCCTTAGACCAGATTAATTCTAATTTTTAGAACTGAAGATATTTTAGTATCTAGAAATTAAACTGTTTATTCTCATTAGTTTTTCTAGGTAAATACTTATTTTAATAAAAAGAGATACTTTTGTAAAAGGTTTTTTTTTCCCCTTAGCAAAAGCACAAATGCCAGATTACTCTGAATACAAATTAGCTTGTGTTACTTTGATCTAATCATCAACAATGATTCTATTGTTGGAGGCTTCCACCTAAAGATCACTTGCTTTAAGGAGTGGAAGAAGTAGCATCCTTTATTCTTGACCTCTGCAAGGCAGTTACATGATAGGATGTTGAAACCAAATATCTGATTGTAGTTCCTTGAATTCAACTTCTCCAGGCTCCAGTTTTAAGCATCAAATTGTCTGAGCTTAATTAGTTTTTACTCCAAAGTAACTAGGAGTTGTTTTGATTTCCTCTATTAACCCTGATTGTTATACTAGTGGTTGCACAGAGAACCAAAGAATTCTACTCAAAAGCCACAAGAATATCATAATGGCCTCTGGAACCCTTTCCCTGTATCAGGGGAGAGAGATGGTTGCCCTTCTCTCCTGGAAGCTTGTTCAGCATTCAGGGAAGTTAGCTCACTTACCTATTTGAGGACATTTTGCATTTGAGGAAATTTTGCATTTCCCCTAGAGTTCAGAAAAAGTAGGAAAGAAGAAATTTAATCCTTACAATATTTTCTTTAAAATACCCTAAAATTACTCAGAGGGAGATTCTTTCCACCTGTCCTAAGTTGAGCAGGAAGGCAACCTCAACACGATTACTCTCATGAACTAATATGCAATTTGAAATCTGTTATGACTTGAGTTCTGTTTTCTAAACTATGCTTTTACCTGCTCTTATACCTAGCTTTATATTCATGAGGCAGTATGAGTGTAGGGCGTGTCTCAAGTCAATCTCCTTGGGGTATAAAAGAACGTAGGAAATGAGTAAACCAAGATGGGAGAAAAGAGCTGCCAATGGCTTGAAGGCCAAGCAGGGCTGACAGAGAGAAAGCTGTCCTTTAGAGCTGGCACCGGGACTCTGAGCCTCCTAAACTGTGAGGAAATAATCTCTGGTTAAAGACACCCATTTTGCAAAATACACATGATTAATAAGACCGAATCTTTGTCTTCCTATCACCGAAGATGTAAGTATCTGAGAGGAATTCACGTGCTTTCAGGGTGAGGGTACGTAGTACGTATTTCACTCATATAAAAGCCTGCCTCTACTTCTCATTATTTAGCACCCTGTTTGAATTGCGTTTCCAACAACACCCTTCCCCGCCCCGCCCCCCGCCCCCTCCCCAAACAACAATGAGAATAGGAACCCACTGCTGTCAAGTTTATTCTGAACTCGGGCAACCCCACGTGTTACTGAGTAGGACTGTTCCAGGCCATTTTCTTGGCTGTCCTCCGCAAAGATATTGTCGGGCCTTTCTTCTGTGGAACCCCCAACTTCTACCTTAAGACTGAAACCACCCATGGAGATCGAGTCCATTCCTATATACTTTACATTTTTATGGGACTCACATGCATATGAGAACATACCATGGCTGGAAGATCTCCCCAGTAACTGCCAGAGAAGTTCCACTAGAAGGAATATCCTGCCCTTTCTGGCAGTGAGGATTTCAACATAAAGCCAAGTTGACCCAGTATCTTAAAGTGGGAGAGCAGCAATACCTGCTGACAGACTCCCCTTTACCATTGATCAGCAGCATGCACTGCTCCTGTGAGTCTCACTACTCCCCGGCATAGCATTCCACCCCACCCCTAGCCCCCAACCTGTGAGATAACCCAACACAACCGCGGGCTTCTGGGAGATAGCTAATTGTGTGGGTAGCTTGGTGTAGACATAATCAGTATTCAAACTTAAGTTTTCACCACCCACCCCCATCCCGCTTTCCTGCTTTATTCTCAGTGCCTTCCCCACCCACCTGCCTTTCATGAGCATCCTGGCTGTGCTTCATCTAAGACATGTTTATTTGTTCCGTTACACGGTCCTTGGTACTTTGAATATTCTTCGCCAGCACAATTCAAATGCATTCTTCTTCTTTGGTCTTCCTTATTCAATGTCCAACTTCCACGTGCACATGAGGTGATTGGAAAGACCATGGTTTGGGTCAGGTGCACCTTAGTCTTCAGAGTAATTTC